GAAACAAAGCTTTGTTGCAAGAACAAACTACAAAACCGGCAATTGCCATAACAGTAATTGAAGAGCCGGGAGATGTCGTCATCCTGAGAAAATTTCATCAAGAAAAGGTTTCTGAACGAAACTGTGGCGAAGGACGCTAAATCCGTCCAGCTACATACTGCTCTTCATTTGAATCACTGTGAAATCACGTTCAGACGTAATTCGGCTGGGCTTCATCAGTACTTTCCTACAGCCACTACTGGCCATGTTTTCAGTGTCAGAGCCAAAAATGCTGTTTGAAACAGTTTCAGTAATTTTGGATGAGCCAAGAACTGAAAAGCAGCTTGATTGCTCATCATGTAATAGCAGCACAGATTCTGCTGGAAGTTGTTCTGGCGAGCCGAATGATACTGGATCTGTACGGGTGCTGCCAACAGGCACTACTACTTCATCGTCGTCTTCATCGTTATCTTCGCTCTCGCTATCACCTTCTCTTTCATGGGATGATAACGGTAGCTTGGAAGTTTTTGGCGCAGGTAGTCCAGATTCACTATCGCCGCTGTCCACGACCACCAGTGAGAATGACGCGGAAAATTCAACGTCAGAACGAGTGTTTACGAGGCTACAACAACCACCACGACAACAAAATCCCCGAACTTACGCCGATATCCTTACAACCGTTTGCTTGACTCGCTATATGATTGCTCTGAAGATGTACAATGAGCAGAAATACTATCTGGCCATGTGCGGTTGTCCGCCGCAACAGTTCTTCAATCCGCTCGACGGTACCTGTTTTCAAGCTTATCAACAACCCCCAGGTGTATTCATGGTACCACTGGAAGCACTTGAAGCTTATATGCGCTACTTGGAAAGGTATGTAACAACACTGGTCCAGTTGATCATGCTGGAATTGGAAGAATAAAAGACAGATACATTTAGAGCTGGAAGGGTAAAAAATTCTCGCAAAGTCGAGAATCACTTCTCTCTCAATAAAAGGCGGAAGCTTTCGTAAGGGCAGCAGGTCCATTATAACCACCCGCTGTTAATAGCTCCGTTTTCGAAAGGTTGCTTATAAGCAGGCTGATAGCGGGTTGAACCTCCTGGCATCCGTCAGTACCAGTTTACCATCAAAACGAATGAATGCATCGTAAGGGGATGATTTTCCCGCCGATGATGTCTAATCCTCGAATTTCTGCACGACAGCAGCGCAGTACTTTCCAGTTTTACAATATGCCTACCAGCATTTAAAGTACTGCGGTTTAAAGACATTAAAAAAATTCAGGATTTGAAAACATTTGAGGCAAATAGGGATTTTGTCCTTAAGCTTAAGTTGTTGTTTCACGCGAATAGAAAGAACCAATTTGTCTTGTATTCATTCTCTTACTTCGATGGTTAGGTACCACTGGTGTACGTACACTAGGAAATTATTTTAAAAAATCAGCTTTCTGCCGCCTGTGTTTACAGCTCAGGAATCAAACATAGCTACCAAACGGAGAGATGAAACACAGACAAGTTACCAGGTCACTGCACATACAGGCTTGCTTATTTGGGAGATCTAAATGGCACTTCCAGTTTTGCATTAATCATCAAAATTCAGTCGTATTCCTTTCCACCGCTGGCCAATAACACCAAACAAACTGCATTTGTTAACACTAGAAGATTTCAGACCCCCTTCTTCCACACTTCCAACCTTTAAAATTTCTACAACACTGACTTCGTTAAGTAGCCCACGGAAAAGAAATTCATGGACGGCGGAGCCAGAGAGATGATAAGTTGCTGCTATCAAGGATACTCCTCTTTCCCTTCTTCGCTCTAACAGTGGAATATGAGGGAAAGGGGAATGAGCAGAATCGATATTTTTTGACATTTTTAACAACAATGTTTTTTCAGTTTGTGTCCTCATCTAGCAAATACTCGATTATCCAATGCGCAGGCACATCCCTTCCCGGAAAACACAGCTCAATTTACCAGTACGGTGGCGACTCATCATATTGCGGGTAACACTGGAACACCAGCAGTAACAACAGCAGGAACAGCGAGTATTCCTGGAGCTGAAGCACCCGTACAAGCCAAGGAATCTGTGGTATGAATATTTTAGCGTCTGATCAAGCAGAAAGATTTTTGCCCAGCTTAGA